AGCTAACCACCCGCCTTCTCGTCGTCATCTTCCCTCCTCGCCTCGTTACTTCCCTCCTCCACATTCGTACCAAATTGATTAAGGCCAACGGGCGCGCCTGAAACCGGGTCGACGTCCATAGCCACCGAGTCCTCAAAGATCACGGGGAGATTGAGCTTGCTGATCGAGAAGTCTGAAACCTGGGCAGCCTTAAAAGCCGCTCCCAAGTCCTCCTCTTCCTTGGTCACTCTCTCCAGCTCCTCCTCGACAGTCGTGGCCTTCGCCTCGAGCTGTTCAAGCATCTCCTTGTTGGCAATGCACTCCTGGAGATCGCACTCGGCCACGTCCTCGGCCTTCTTCCTCTCCCACTTCAGCTTGAAGCCCTCGATCACCTCCATGAACCTCCGAGACATATCCTTCCGGACCTCACGGCACGCCTTGCGGACATCACTCTTGCGCTCGCGGACCAGACGAAGATTCCCTTCTTGATAGATCGCAGCCTCGCGTTGAGCCTGCACCGCTACAGCTTGAGCCTCGAAGATCTGGTTGGTGGCAACCTTGAACTTCTCACTCTTGTCAGCCAACTCGATCTCAAGGTCGGTGATGTGAGCTTGCTGGCCCTTGTACTGCTTAAGGAGTCTAGTCTGGCGAGCGACATGTGTATTCGCAGCCTCAAGGTCGGACTTTAGCTTGCCGACTACCTCTCCCATATCCTTGATCTCGTCCGGATGAGGAACATCCCGCAGCCTTTGCTCCAGTCGAGCATAGAGCCGGTTCCTAGCCTCCTCCAACTGTGAGCATCAAGAACCAAAGCGTTAAGGCAAGTGACACTTAACCAAATTTACACAAAGAAAAAAAAATAAAAATAAATAAAAGAGGTACTCCTGTACCTTTCCCTGGGCCGCCGCTATCTCCACGTAGAGCTCCCTCTCAGTCATTTTCTTGAGAGCCGGAAGTTGGCACCCAGCAGGCTTGAAATGACGCCTCATGGCCGCCATGTCCTCAGAGTAAACCGTGATCGGATGATCCTTGGTGTGCTCGAATTTCCAGTGGAAAGGCCAGCTACCCGTCGAGCCACCACTCCTGTTAGACGCCGACGGGCGCAGCTCAGCAGCACGACTTCCCCCATCGGCCTCTTTGAGGCAGGCTGGGAAGCTTGCTTGGGCGCCTGGTCGTCAGTGAGCTGCACAGTCTTGCCCGAGCTCATGGAGATCGCCCCCACTAATCCGGAAGGAAGATCGGGCTGAGGGTTCATCGTCTGCTCAACCTCCTCGTCGCGGAGGTGAGGTGCGGAAGCAGAAGCTGTGGCGAGCGCGGCCTCAAGGGCCTCCTTGAAACTCCCGGAGCGTACCCTGGAGCTGCTGGGACCAGCCGGGGTTTTCCCGGCTCTTTGACAGAAGGTTGGCTTGCGAGATATTGTGGAACTCGAGCTTACTGAACTAGAAGAAGGCTGGAGAGAACGGAGAGGAAGGACTCTGGCTGCCAGCAAAGTAAACCACCTTGCGTCAGAATATTATGATCCAACAAGCAAGGTCGAGAGACAAGTTCAAAGAAAACTTACCGGGCGTAAAAACTGGAGCTGGAACGGGGGAGGTGAGAACTCGTCGGACTCGTTCTCGCGTGAACGTGCTCCAGATAACTTTTCCTCGTCTGAACAACTCTAGCCGGTGCTAGATATCGGGATCCTTGGGTGCTCAGGACAGTTGGCCTGATAGACAAAAACAAGCAAAGGGTCAGAAAACTCGACGAGCATACCAAAACGAACATAGCTAACGAGCACTCCAGCCTAGCTAAACAATCGTTGCCCGCGAACTCGATTGGTAGCCGGGAAAAGTCGAAATCCCCAACGGACGCCTCGTTAATCCAGAATTTAAACCCGGTTTTCTCCCAACCAGAGTCCTTCTCCGGACTCTCCTCAATGAACCGCCGGTTCGACCTCGGGGATGCATAGAAAGTCTCGGGACGGCGGGCGTTGTACTTGACGGAGAAGAACGCTATCAAATCAGAATCGCAAAAGATAATGTTCTCCTCTTTGGCCCGCACGGCACATCCGATGATGGCCCGAACCAAGTTCGGGCACATCTGCGGGAAAGCCAGCCGCAGATCCGCCAGCACTTCGAGGATGAATCGAGGGATCGGGAAGAAAAGCCTGCAGTCCTGGAAGTATGTTGTATAACCGCAACAAAAGCCCGACTCAACCCTCGCCGGAGTCTCCATCGGCGCCAGAAACGCCAGCTCCACCCCATCGGGGATTTTGCATTCTCGACGAAAATCGTCGAGAATTTGTTGGTCGTTGATCTTAGAGGGACCCGGGACTACAGCGGCCCTCCCAGAACTTTCTCCCTCAACTTTCACGATGGCCGACATCAGAAAAAAAAGAAGGGGGGAGAGAATAAAGATGCTAAAACGCAGAAAAACTCGAGGACGAAGATCGAAGCTCTTTCAGAAAACAAAAAAAAAACTAGCAAGCGATTTCTAAGAGAGAAGGCGATGAACGGAAGTTGCAGAAAATATATAGAGAAAGGGAGAGGGAGTTACCTTTAATCGACGAACTAATGCAGTTAAAGAAGAAGTGGGAACGTGGACTTTATATCTAAGGAATAATTGCCCACCTCGAGGATCACGGAGAATCTGGCCACGCGCCGATCTCGACCGTTCGATCCCTCGATCTCAACCGTCGAATATTCGACCTCGAGGATACGACGTGCTGCAGAAGCCTGTGTAATCGAGGCCGTTAGATCGACCTTCTCTCTCTCCATATGGACCTTCCACGTCACTGAATCTCAGCATGAATCTCCTCGAGAGATACACCTTGCCTCGGGAAGCTCGACCACCGAAACAGAAAGGTAAATGATCATATTTACTTCGAATCTCGACTGTCCACCTGGACGAGTTAATGATATTTTCACCTCAACACGCCAAGTCGCAGTCTCGAGGTCGAATCTCGACCTCACGATCGATGAACTGTTCGGCTTTCCAAGATCTGAACCGTCGATCTCGAATGATTATCTGACTCTGTGACGTCAGCGTAATCAAACACAAAATCTTTCAAAAGTCCTATCTTCTCGCCCATTAAAGCTTGAGCTCGCTCTCGTTAATGGGCTGGGGGGTAATTGTTGGAGCTGGATTTGGCACCCCAAATCTAGCCCATTCAAGCCCAACAGGCAGGTCCGAACTAAGCCAAAAAGACTGGACTTCAACCTTACGGCCCATGTCCATTCATCTTTCAACAATCCGATCCTGAGCAACAAGACACTCCATTCGACGAGGTCGAGCTCCAGCTCGACCAAATTCCGAGAAACGAGGGAGAATCCAAGCCAAGTCAGAGCATATTCTCGCTAGTTCAAACGAGTCCGAAGATCGCAGAGGAAGTTGCTGCACGTGGCGAGATGTCCGGCTGAGGCTGCTGCACGTGGCCAAGATACGCGCTGGAGCTCGAAGCTCGACAAGGCAAGCTATATAAAGGAGGAGAATGGCTTAGTTAAGGGGACTTTTGGCTTGATCTCTTTACACACTTTTTACACTCGAAAACACTGTAACTGCTCCTTGAGCTCTTTTCAGTCCATCTTCTTCATCAAAATCCTTGTAACCATTTCATTCGACTGATTAATATAAAGTCCTTATTTTAGTTAGTGCTAGCTTATACAGTCAATCTGTTCGAGGGAAACTAGTCCTTAATCCTCTAAAGTTCTTTCCTTTCAAATACACATAAATTTCTGAGTGTGGATTTCGGTATCCAGAAAAGTATGTCGAGTGTCTCATAACTCAAGAGGCACAAAAGGTTTATTTGCATTTTCTTGTAATTTAACTTAGATATTTTTCTTATACTATATATATATATTATAAAAACTTTATAATTAAATTAATAATATATATTATACTATTTTAAAAAAAAATTCTTAACCAAAAAAACAAACATGTTTGTTTTCCTTATATGTTGAGTTTGTGAGGAATTTTTTCTTTATTAATATGGATGGTCATAGATTTTTTTGTGATATTTTCTTTTACATAGAAGTATATATATATTATTTTTAAATATAAAAGTGTAATATATTAATATTTAATATAAAATTATGCAAGTCTATTTTTCATATAATATAATTAATTTAATTTATGCCTAAAGTATTTACATATTATATTAAATCACAATCGTATCGATAAACTGCAATTTTGATTTGATCTCTAAAGCATATGTAAAGTATAAAATTATAGATGAATAAAGAAAGTAATACATATACAAATAAAACTTCATACTAACTCATTTTATTGAACAAAATATGTCGAGTTTCTCAAAACCCAAAAGGTGTAAAAGGTTCAATTATATTTGGTTGTAATTTTGACTTACATATTTTTACATTACATATATATATTGATTAACCTCTATACTTAAATTAATAATTTATATTATATTATTTAAAAAATTTCTTAAACAAAAAAACCATAGTAGTTTTTCTTACATATTTATTTTGTAAGGAATTTCTTTTTTTTGTTGATGTGAATGGTTAAAGATATTTTTTGACATTTTATTTTACATAAAAATATATTTACTATTTTTAAATATGAAAGTGTAATATATTAATGTTTAATATAAAATTATGCAAGTTTATTTTTTTAATACACATAACTATAACGATGATTCATATGTTATAATTAATATAATTTATGCCTAAAAATATTTAGCCAAAAACAAAGGTGATAGTATATACATAATCATACGTATTTGGTGCTTTTAATTATTGTGTTGATGCACTCTATACTTTATAATATTATATTTTATTAATTTTTAATTTAAATGTGTAATTATTATTAATATAAATTGTAAAAAAAACAGTTTTTGTTAAAATCAAATTATATGTCATATATTTTATTATATTAGTACATATAATTTAATCAATATTCAAGTATTACTATTATTATTAATAAAATACTATTTAAATTTAAGTATATTATATATATATATTAAAAATTATTTTTATTAAAAATCTGCTCATGTGTAGTTGAATGGTTTTAGAAACCCAAAACTCCACCTTTTGTTTAGTATAGATAATTAAGGTCATCTTCACAATACAAACAATCCGGCGGCCACCCGTTTTCTGCCCCAAAAGATTTTCAGAATCCTCCTAACTTGTCTTTTCACCTTTTTTTTCTTCTTTTTTTTTTAATCTTTCCTATGAGTTCTAACCAAACAATGGGGACTGTGTCAGAACCCTTTCATCTTCCTTTCTCTCATTGCTTCCCATTATATTCTTGCAATTCACCCATTATCCTTAGCCGTAAATCTTTTTCTCCTCTATTCTCCTTGCGGCCGATCAAAAAATTTTGGAGATTCATGGTGGATTTTTGCATCTCCGCTTCGATTTTCGTCAGATCATTTGAAAAACTCTAGGAAGTAATTGGTGAGTCGATCGTTTTGCGTTAGTTCCTCTTTCCTTTTGATATACTACAAATATTTCATGTTATTTGTTGTGTGAGTTTTGATCAATAATTTCTTTCTTGATTTAGCAAATTTCTTGCCTCTGTACTGGTGAGTTTCAAATTTTAACTGTCGTTTCATTTGAGTTATTTGAAATTCGTTGTTAATAAGTCTTTTTTATTAAAAAAAAAAACTTTGTCTTTTCTTTCTTTCATTTCCATAGTTTGGAGATGGGTTTGTTTGTCAGAATTATGAATTTTTAATAATATTGGTGTTATAATTTTGTGAAACATTGTCTTTTGTTTCTGTCAATTGATGGGTGTTTACAATTTAATTGACAAGTTTTTTGGAGAGATATGGAGGATCAGAAGCAGACGAGTTTCACGTTTGAGATAGATAACTTCTCTGAGAAGGAAGGTTGGATACGATCTCCAACATTCTTAAGCGGTAGCTGCGAATGGTAAAGGCAAAAATGATATATTGTGTTTTAGTTCTTCACTCATCCTCGGCTCAATAAGTAGTAACTTGTCTTTGTTTATTTAAACCTGTTTCCTTTCTTTTTGGTCAGGTATGTTTACGTTTATCCCAAAGGAGATCTTGTTGATGATCACTTGTCTCTGTACCTCTACGTTGCGAATCCTGAATCATTGCGACTTGGATGGAAAAGAAGAGCTACTTTTTCCTTCCTTCTGTTGGATCAATCCGGCAAAGAGCCATACAAATTAACCGGTAATTTAACTTGTCAGACGTAAACTGTATTTGATTGTCGAGAAAGAAAATTTAACTTAACCTCTTTGTTTTTGTCTTACAGAATTATGGTGCAAGTTGTTCTGCGCTCAGGTCTCAGGATGGGGTAGCGCAAAGGCCGTGCCTCTTAGAAAGCTTCAAGAAAAAGGGTTTATGGAGAATAACAAACTGATAGTTAAAGTGGAAGTAAAAGTAGTTGAAGTTGTTGATGAATCAGAAGTAACTGGGAATGAGACCTTAGATGTCCAAGGGTTCCAAGTACTTTATTCTCAGGTATGTAAGCTTGAAGGAGATGCTTCTTGTTGTATTTTTCTTTTTTTCTTTTTTATTTTTCTTTTATGCGATTGGACATAGTTGAAGTTGTTGATTTACGTCTGTCTGTCGTTGACAGGTAACTTCAGTGACTAGGCTTTTCGCGAAGCATCCGGGCTTTGCCGCAAACTTCAAACCAAAGAGCCAATTGGTGAAGACAACATACATGAATATCTTACTCGGTCTCATAGAGGCATTGAACAAACCTCCACATAGTTTATCCGAGACTGAGCTAACCAACGCTCACAGCGAGCTGATCGATCTAACAGAAGCAGGCTTCAAGCTAGACTGGTTGAGGACAAAGCTTGATGAGGTTTCCTTGGAGAGGAAGAAAGCAAGTGCTGATGGTATTAGAGTCCAAGAACTCGAGGAAGAAGTCAAGAATCTCAAAGCTGAACTGAACAAGGAGAAAGTAAAATCTGCTACCTCTGCAGCTAAGGTTTTGTCCTTAGAGAAGACCGTGTCGCGTCTTATTTACTTTTTTTTTATTTACTTTATCTTTTTTGTTTCTTTTACAAATCAATAAATTATGAGTTTTATGGTCGTCTGAATCTGAAATGATATGGTCTGAGTTAATTGGATTATATATCAGATTCGATCGAATTCTGATGACATTCATTCTCATTTTACATACTAAATTTCATAACTATTTCGATTGCAAATTAGATTTGGGACAATAATCAAAGCAAAATCTACAATTACCACCAAAACAAACGCACCTTAATTGTGCCTGGACAAAGTACTACAACTATAATCTCCCATCATATAACATATAAGTGACCAAACTTATCGTGGAAGCCAGAACTCCTCATTTTGCTTGATGAGTTCTGCTGATGCTTCTTTGTTATCATCTCTAAAATAATTTCCACGCATCTTCCACCTTACAAGCTTTGTAAAGCCCTTGAATGATAATACTATACGTGAAGACATCAGGTTCCATTTCACTCTTCAGCATATCGTGGAATATGACCAATGCTTCCCGTTATTACAAAGCCCATCTAACAACAATGTTGTATGTCCAAATATCAGGAGGTATCATCAACATCAGTCTCTAGTTTTCTAGTAGTTGGGATTCCAGTGATGTATGGAATATCCTCTAAAACTATCAATTATTCTATGTTTTGGTGGAAGAATCAACCAGATTTTTAACTTTTAGCTCGGGTATAAATTATAACCCCGGCTTGTTGCTGATCTCGGTCGAGTAGTTGGTAACCATGGATCTTTACATACAAATATAGAATCTCCTGATCCGACTTTTTTGATGAGTCCTTTGTTTACCAGATATCTAGCTGAAATAATATTTTGCCATCCATAGGATGCTGAGTAAGGGTTAAACCGATCTATAGGGCCTCCATTCAGATAGTATCGTCTTTTGAAAACCCATGCGAATAAAGAGTCTAGATACTTTATAAGTCGCCACAGTTGTTCAGCCAATAGTGCAGTATTGAAATCCTTTATTATCCGGAAGCCCAGTCCACCCTCTGATTTGTGTTTGCACAAAATTTTCCATGATAACCAATGCATTCATCGGGATTGACCACTTGTACTTCATTGGAACTTAGCAACCGTGATAGTTAGTTTCTCTGTGATTGCCTTTGGTAGGCGAAAACAGGACATTGTAAATGTTGGCATCGTTGATGCTACTGATTTTATCAATACCTCCTTACCCCCTTTTGATAGAACCCATGATGTCCATCCTTTAAAATGTTTCTGTTGGTGCTCAAAATTTATGATTCTCAAACTCTGATGAATCTCTGCCTTGATAGTCGGATCCAGTATATGACACAATTGTACTAACGACTTTGAAAAATTAATCTGTTGACCCGACATTGATTCATATTTTTTAGTGAAAAACTTGGTGATTAGATAATTTTTGATTTTCTAAATGAGAAAGTGTGTACTTTTGAGTATTAATATAATTAATAGGTACTTTTTTTTTCTTAGCAAATGACATTTCAATCTGTCAACATAAAAATTTAAGTTTACTCATTCAGCTAAGTTCACTCATGTAACAAAGAAACCGGTCCGGTTTTGACCTCCCAGAACCAACTAAAAACCAACGGGTATTGTAAGAGATAGTTCATTTTTCAGACCAAACCAACTGATGGGTTAGGATCAAATTATGATCTGCTTTATTTTGTCGGTTACAGCATTTAATAATCTTCTTGAAGAAACCGATTTCAGCTCCTTCACACCTCTTCTCCATCAACAATGACATGCCTGACCGATATCAGAAAATTATCAATCTCCCAAGCATAACCACCAAGTTTGATAAACCTATAAATGGGTCCCCGAAAACTAACTTCTGCACAGAGGATGCAGAATTGCATGCCGACAACCTGAAAAGTACTCAAAAGTAGTATACTGTCGCATAAGACCACTCTGGCCAAACTCAGCAGTGGTACTAACGAATTTAAAGGTAAATGTTTAATATTTACCATCTGAATTTAATGTAAATTTAACAATTCGGTTTCGATGAAAGGGGTGTCGCATTTGCGGATCGAAGATATTAAGCTTATATATCTAATTAGCTCACTAATTAGTGATTAGCATCAAACATCTTCTTCAGTTACTTTCCAAAGTCTTGCATGCGGAATCAAAGATTTGACAAATCGTAATTGTAATTGATGTAGATTCCCAAGAAATGGTGATCCCGGCTCGCGAGCAAAGCTGTAGTGGTTCGAAGATGCTTCCTAGCTAACTGTTCGCTAAAAAATGCTACTCATCGGGTAGCCCACGTCTTCACATATACTCGAAAGCTAACATGATCGGTCAAGTGATTAGGGCGTTGGGTGAGACTGAAGACCGGCAATATATTGAGAACTCCCAAATCCGCGCCCTCTTACGATTACCAGTGCAAAATACACCAACTCAGCGAAACTTTTTCACTCCTTCATATCTCGCCAGCTTATAATGAAGAGGATGTATGAGTTGTGGACAGTCTTTGGTAGCCAACCAATCCGGTTCTTGTTGGCAAATTTCAAGCGTGTCACAGGCCTTGTGTGTCGTCAATACCCAGGAGATTGGAGAAGAGTGAGGGATAAGTCGAAGGCTTCAACACCCCTTGAAGGAGAAGAAAGTAAAAAACCAATGTCCAAGATGTGGCGAAACCTGTTTGATAGGGGCGATCCTATGGTTACAGATAAGAAAAAAAGAAACATCTGTCGTTGGAGAGAAAAACAAGGAGGATAACCGAAAACAGAACAAAACAACTGAAACTGATACTGATAACTTTGGATGATGACTTTCAAATAGGCTAGGAAAATTGGGGAAGCTACAAAAAGAGTCAGTAGCTGCGACTTGTAGTCGTGGCAGCAAAAAACAAAAGCTGGTCATGGATGACGATGATGATCATCATATGCACTCTGGTGGATCTTGGCATAAATACAGCTTCACCGAACATGTATTACAGGAACTTTGGGTAGATGAGAAATAAGGGAAAGGTGTTGAAGAAGAAAAAGATAGTGAACAAGATGATGAAAAAGAAAAGGAGGCTAAAGAAAATGGTGCTGGAAATGAGAATGTGGGAGAAGTTTTGAAAGAGGCTGAAGAACAAACCATGGGTGAACATGAGAAAGAGGGTGAGAAAGGAAAGGAGTCTGAAGATGCGGACGAAACTACAGAGAAATTTATGGGTACGGCTAGCCTACACCCAATCCAGATTGATGAGGTAACCATGTACACTTGGTCTAAAAAATGCCTGAGAATTTTAATTTGTTGTATGAAAAGTTAGTAATTATGAATTTGGAATTTCAGTTACAGATATTTGAGTCTGAAGGCCTGTCAGATAATCATTTGCAGTTGGTTTCTCTTGGATACTTTGATGGTGGAAGGACTTACTCACCAGCGTACGTGATATCACATGTACACTCGCCTGAATACGGGACACCTCCTGAGATACCAGTTGATCATCCAGAAACCAATGAAGTTGAATTTCAGAGTTCTTCACAGTGTCCAGGACCAAAGCGCATGCCACAGAGATCAAACATACTTGGTGGAGTGTTCACTGGTTATCTGCGTGTAAGGGCTTTATTCCCAAGTCGTACCAAACCCGAATATGCTCCCATCTAAGTTGTGCCACAGAAGGAGGTCAATAAATTTATAGCAATTCTCAACGAATCAAAGGAGAAGTAAGTTTTTATAATGAATCATGACTTACATGCTAAGCGTACCTTATATTTTAGTGTTCACGTAAATAATTTTTGTATAGAGAGCTCTACATTTTGACAAGACATATAGTGTCTAATGGTTTTTTCCTGGCCATTTCTATGAAACAGAATTGGCTGGATATTGATGTAAGAAGCAGGAAATTTTAAAGTTTACCACTTATCTTAGGTTTGTTCAAAATATATGATTATTAGGTTCTTCGCTTCTGTTTCCAGCATACGCAGGTCATAATGAGTATGTTATCTTGCTCTAGAGGTGAGATTATGTTGAAAGACAGGGCTTCATTCATAGACACCGCATTCTTGACCTTTGATATCTCGGCGTACGAGAAATTCCAACAGGCAAGAAACAAAATCTGGTTCGTAATACATAGAGTTTTAACCCTATATAAGCTACTGCAAGTGCACAGAAAGTGATGTAGTAATTTAGGGATCGAATCCACAAGGACCAAGTGTCACACTACTAATCTTTAAGATGAAACTAAGCTAAGATAATGATATGCTGTTGAATGCAATATAAAACAAAAATAGCAAGTAAAAGCAGTTTAAAGATAGTAAAAGAAAGCACTAGATCTAGGTATTTCGCAGGAATTCAGAGATCAAAAACCAGACAGTTATTCAAGGTAGTTTATATAAAATTTAAAATTCAAACATAAAGTATAATTAATCCACTTTCATGGCATCAAAGACTTTGTCTAGCACCTAAGATTCTAAACTTTCGTTTGAACTTATAATTCTAAACAAACATTAATGAACATGTTTGATCTGTTCACAATCATCTTAACATCAGCTTTTGTTGGCTAAAGACAATCTTCTCACCTATGTTCTATCAAGCAATCTAAAGCACTTTTATGATAGATTAAATCTTAAATTTGAGATTAAGTGATCAAATTAATATAATCAATGATAATAACAATAGGCGAAGACAACAGAAGAATGACCTTATCTATGTCTAGTTCAGTGATTCATGAATCACTTGAAAACTCTAAACCTAACTATAAAACTACTCATACATTGAAGCAGAAAAACAGCAAAAGAGATGAAGAGAAATTCATAATAAATAAAATAGAAATCAACTCAGGTTCAGAAATCTTCTCAGAGATGTAGCATAGAAAGATCGCCTCCCCAAAGCACACAAATTTCAAAAAGCTAAAAGTCCGAATAGAAAATAAAAGGTAGCCTTCACAATAGCTGAAAAACAAGAATATATAGGTTCATGCACGAATTGGATGAGAAATTGTCGAAAACTGGGTCGGAATAGGAAAAACCCAACGTTTTCTTATTTTATGCACGACCAAACCGGTTGGTTTAGGCCCCGGATCGATCGATCCCAAATTAGACTGATCGATCTAAAATGTCTTGGGAGATTCGTGGCCTCTCGGATCGATTGATCTAAAATGTCTCGGGTAAACCTTCGACTATCGGATCGATCGATCCCTCTTGAATCGATCGATCTAATTTCTCTCGGGAA